GACCATTTGGAAACTCGGGCACTGCCCAAGGGCTTGGGGTCAGTAGGGGGCCCCATGAGATGCCCCTAGTACCATTTTCATAGGCTTTTTTGAGTTTGGGCAAGGACCCGGGGGTCCCATGAATTGTCAGTCCACCCCCTGGTCAGTCATGCCTGAGTTGGGAGACTGCCTTAATGTTAAACTGTCACAAGAACGCAGATCCCACCTGGTCCCAGGCATTGGTGAGTATGCCTCTGGCAAAAGTACTCCTAGTACACAGATGGTGGAGTCGTATCTATACAAAAACTAGCACCTTCATCTCTACCTCTAAGTTATCTCTAAATTCACATAGACCTATAACAATATAGGCTATATTAGAATCCCATGTTATGCATCCCAATATTTTTTTGTTTTGGCAGCTACTGTTTGAACAAGTGCTGCTTAGCTTTCTGTCAACTAATATTTCCAAGATATTCTTCAAAATAATTTTTTGCACTACTCAAACTCTTCTAGCTCCACCACTGGATCCTCCTCTTTTGCTCAACATTGTTTACTTTTGGATTAAATTATGGTCAATGTTCAACCCCTTCCAGTGAACTTAGGCAGCAATGGACACCCCCCAACCAGCAGGGATAATACTGCAGCACTGAAAGGTGCTCACACATTGCTTTGTTGCCAGACAAGAAGAGGAAGGACCTTTGATGAAAACAGCTAAAACTGAATTATGTATGAAGGGAACTGAAGAAAAAAAAAAAAAAGGTGCTCAGACAGTAGGGTTGAACTAGGGGAAGGGGGCATTAAATTGCTTTGAAGACCATCTCCAGGCAAAACTTAAAGCCTACGTTTAGTTAAATAAAAAAAAAAAAAAAAAATCAGCGCAAGGGACATTACTTACAATCAATGCAAAGTATCCTTTGTTCTCTTTTAGATTAAATTTTCCATCCTTTTACCTCCCTTACTCCCACAGTGGTAATCTTCTAATGTGGGTGTTAATAAAGCCACTGGACCTGTCAAAGGCACTTGTCAAGAGTGCCAACAACAGCTGCCCTTTCTACCCCCTCTCCTCCATTCATATAAGCATTACAACAGATTCCATCAATGAAAAACGGTTTATGAATGGAGGACAGATAAGTGAAAGGTCTGTAAAATTATTAAGATGTAATGGGGAGGGGGGGGTTCAGAAGACAGAAGATTTCTACTAAGACAGCAGCCACCAACATTAGGGACACTTCTTGTTCAATGTAAGTACCTTTCCTTGTGCTGATTAAAAAAAAAAATTAAACTTTGGTTTTAATCCCCCCTTCACCCCACTCCTGCTCGCCTCTAACCCATTCAACACTTTTTCGTAATATCTTGTGGAGTGTTTTATATCTACCTAACACTAGCGCTGTTTCCAGATGGAAGAGACCGGTAAAACCAGCACTGCCCATGCAGGCTGGACTTCAGTTTTAATGAACTGGAACAAATAGGTAGTCTAAGAGTTTTAAATTCTTAATTGCTGCATACAGTGGGGAAAATAATTATTTGATCCCCTGCAGGTTGTGTATGTTTGCCCACTTACAGATTTTTATCATAGGTGTATTTTAAAGGATAGAGACAGAATATCAACTACAAATCCAGAAAAAAACACGATACAAATGCATGACAATGACCTAAAACATATCGCCAAGGCAACAAAGGAGTGATTCAAGAAGAAGCACATTAGGGTCATGGAGTGGCCTAGCCAGTCTCCAGACCTTAATACTATAAAAAATTTATGGATGAGGCTGAAACTTCGAGTTGCCAAGCGACAGCCAAGAAACCTTAAGGATTTAGAGAAGATCTGTAAAGAAGAGTGGACCAAAATCCCTCCTGAGATGTGTGCAAACCTGGCAACCAACTACAGGAAACATCTTACCTCTGTGCTTGCCAACACCAGCTACTCAACCAAGTACTAAGTCATGTTTTGATTGGGGATCAAATACTTATTTTACTCACTGAACTGCAACTCAATTCATAACATTTGTATCATATCTTTTTTTCTGGACTTTTGGTTGATATTCTGTCCCTATCATTTAAAATAGACCTATGATAAAAATTATAGACCCCTCATTTCTTTGTAAGTGGGCAAACTTAAAAAATCTACAGGGGATCAAATAATTATTTTTGCCACTGTACTTTCAGTTCAGTAGTTTACGAAAGAACAATGTGTTCAATGAAACACATCCCTCTTCTTAAAAAAAAAGTTTAAACAAAATGGTTGTACTGTAACAAGGGTCATTCCGCTGCAACATACTCTCAAGGTAGATGTCCTCCAAGCTGTACACACTCTACAGTACAGGCATTTTTCTCTACTTTGCTTCCTATTGCTTAGTTCTGACATCTGAACTGAGACATCTTCCAACCATAAGCTTTTCTCTTGGGGAGTAGTAAGTACAAGTTAGTATTTTTTTAAACTGCCTAGCTCCTAAACCTATGTGAGCTTAGGAAATCAAGGCCCAAATTCTTACTGGTTCCTCTATTGCTCTCATGGAAGCCATTTGTGGATTGCATAACTAACTCCATCATTTCATGTTGATACAGGACATTTACAGGCCAGCTGTAATGCTCACCATCACTGGATATTTTACCCATGGCTGGATAAAAGGTAAGTTTACATTACACATTTGGCCATGGCTACTTTATAATGAAAATGCAACATTTCAAATCTATTGGAGACACCTCTATGATAACTGAAGGCAGTGTGGGTTTTTCAATAATTCTTTTTTAAAGTTCAGTGGCCAAGTTTTATTTATTTAAATGCCTTTGTCATTAAATTAATACATGTCCACATAGTTGAACTAGCAGACATGTTGAGGTTAACCAAAGGTTGTATAGTTCACCTTTGTCTGTTGGGACGTCTTGTAGTCTGGGGCCAGTTCACGGAGGTATTAAATCACTTGTGTATCATTGAGCGCTAAATCACTTTACATTGCAGGCTGTACACATAATGAAGTGACTAAGAATCTTATTTTTTTTATGATGGTATGAGACTGCAGAATACCTTCTAATCCCTGGGTTTTAAATGGTTCATAGTCTATAAAATTATTTTTGCAGCTATACTGTAGCGCTTGGGGGAGCTTGTCAAAGGCCAATTATCTCAGGCTATATTATGCTGTAGGGATGGCTCTCTTGATTGGTTGTCAAGCATCAAAGTACATCACAACCAGTTCATATTCAACAAGCCATATGACGTTCAACAGAAGTAGTAATTACCTGTAAAGTATTATAGTAATGCACAGTTGTACAGATTACTCTCATGTACTGAAATCGCTTACTCCAATTTTACTGCACACTGAGATTCTCACAGTGTGAATTAGAAGCTGTAGCGAGTCAGAGTCCACCTCATTTCCTAGCTGAAGCATGTCCACAATCATTTATCACTTTTCACCCCCAGTCTGACTGTCCCTGGCCCACTTGTGGGTGGGGAATAACACACCCGATTGGGGACACTGGAAACCAGGCTTGCTAATGACTATACAAACCAGCAGAGACCATCGCCATGTGAAATTAGCATTAAGGTGGTACTCCTGAATTACAAGGGATAATAACTCTTGGTACAATTAACTCTTTGTTCACAAGTCCCTTCTCAGCGACTCCACACCTGCTCAACTTTATTTAGGCTTCCTTCACACTTTGCAGCACTTCCGAGGGGATACCACAGAGCCTGTATCTTGCTCCTCCAGCCCAGCTTCCATATCACCTCACTTCCAGTGACAACTTGCTTACATTTAAACAAACTCTCTACAGGTTCTGAGCTTCTGTTCTCCTAAGGATCCTCATTGTTCCTCTTCCCGTGGCATACAAGCTAGACCCATAGGGGCAACTGTATAGCGATGTCTGTCTTATGAGTGAGGCACTGATCACTAGGGAAGGGGTTACGCTCAGAAACCCCCCCGCTACCAGAGCACTTAGTCATCCCTGCCCAGCCACAATTCTCTCTTTGCTAGCTGGCAGCTATAGTGCCCAACACATCGCTGGTTACTCAAGGCAATAAAGACTTTTACTGTTCAGCTCTCACCACTTGTTAACCCTTGGTAGCATTCTCTCCTGAACGCCTCTCCGTAACCTGTTGTAAGCCCTGTTCTTTTGCACACCTGACATGCACCTCCCTTTTCCCAGGATCTTTGGACAAGGCATTTTCTTTCAATAAAACTAGGACTTTACTGAAAAGTTGGTGTAAGCTACATTCACTTAGAACAGTTTCTCAGAACATAATCCCCAACTTATTCTAACTCAGGCTGCCCAGGTCATACTTTAGTGCAATGATAACGTCCATAAGCAAAGGTCCCTTTGGAGAGAGTCCGCTCCCTGCCCCCCCAACAGGGTACCCCAAAAGGAAGACCACATGTTCAGAGTAGACTTACATTCTACAGCATTCCTCCCTGTACATTCCCATGTGGAAAACACAAAAGCTCACAATAGGCTACCTCCCCTTGTGATTATAGCCCTCCACAAGGGGGAAGAGCCATGAACACCAGGGAATTGGCAGCCTTAAGCCCTTACTAACACCCTGGGCAGCCTGCTGGCCCATAACTATGTAAACAACTCTTTGCTCATGTAGGTGTTACCTTGGGTAGTCTGGATTCCTGCTGATATTTCCAGGAATGCAACGTCCTTGTAACTTCCTGGGAGCTGAACTGAAATAACACTGTTTGTATCATCCTTCAGTAAACAATCCTATCACCCCATATAATGGGGATAAAGACATGTTTGAAACCCAGTTTAAATAACAACCATGGCTTCCTCAATAGATACAGTGAAGGCATGCCTGCCAGCCAGGAACAGTATTTGTGTTTCGGGATTACCAGGTGAAAATATTTTTTAAAAATGCCTTAACCGCTTCCTGTCCGCTCTATAGCAGTAATACTGCTACAGGGCGGCACGGGTGCACAAAATCACATATATATATATATATATATATTTACACACATACATATACATATACACACACACACACAGTACAAATGATTTTGCATTTCTGATATTCACAGCTCTCCCATGTCAGCTCCTGCACACTGCTATGCATGACTCTGCATAGCACAGCCATGCAAAGCAGTGTGCTACAGTGAAGCACAGACACACAGCTAACCCTTTGATCGCCCCACATATTAACCCCTTCCTGCCCAATGCCATTAGTACAGTGTCAGTGCTTTTTATTAGCACTGATCACTGTATTCGTTTCATTGGGATGTCAGTGACACCAAGTCAGTTCCCCCCAGTGTCAGAATGCCCACTGCAGTCCTGCTGTAAGTCGCTGATCACCGCCATTGCTAGTAAAAATTTAAAACATCCCAGTATATATACTGCCATTTGTAAACGCTATAACGTTCACATAAACCAATTAATAAACACGTATTGAGATTTTTTTTTTTTTAACCAAAGACATGTAGTGGAATACATTTTAGCCTAAATTTTTGACAAAATTTGATTTTTTTTAATTTTTTTACTGGACATGTTTCCATAGCAAAAAGTCAAAAATATTGTTTTTTTTTTCTCAAAATAGTCGGTCTTTTTTCCTTTTCTTATAGCGCTGGTGATCAAATACCACCGAAAGAAAGCTCTATTTGTGAGGGAAAAAAAGGACATGAATTTAATTTGACTGCAGCATTGCCTGAGAGCGCAATTGTCAGTTAAAATAACGCAGCGCCATAACGCAAAAAATGGCCTGTTCAGGAAGGGGGGTAAATTCTCTGGAGGGCAAATGCAGCCACTTCATCTAATGACTAAAAAGCTGCAATATATTTAATTTTGGGTTTATGAGTTTAAATATGCTTTAAGCTCACAGAGGGTCAAACAGTGAAAACATCAACTTTGAATCATCTAGAAACATTTTTAGGACCCCTTTTCCTTTCAGGGAAACCTTGTGTTAGAACAGGGGTCTTCAAACTTTCTAAACAATGGGCCAGTTTACTGTCCTTCAGACTTTAGAGGTGCTGGACTTCGGCCAGTAGAAAGAGTGGGAGCAAAAAAAAAAAAAAAATTTACTAGCACATGTAGTCAGTAGTATGAGGAATAGTGCTCCAGCATTGGTGTCAATGGGAGGAATAGTGCACCATAGCTGGGAGCAGTGGAAGGTATAGTGCCCCATCATTTACCTCACTGGAACTAATAATGCCCCAGCATTGGTGTCAGTGGAAGGGAGAATGTTCCATTGTTTATATCAAGGGGAGGAATTATGCCCGACTGTTTGATGTTCATAGAAGGAATTATGTCCCACTCTTTGTATATGGAAGAAATGGTGTCTCAGCGTTGGTGTAAGTAGGAGGAAGGAATGGTGCCTCAGCATTGGTGTAAGTAGGAGGAAGGAATGGTGCCTCAGCGTTGGTGTAAGTAGGAAGAAGGAATGGTGCCTCAGCATTGGTGTAAGTAGGAGGAAGGCATGGTACCTCAGCATTGGTGTAAGTAGGAAGAAGGAATGGTGCCTCAGCATTGGTGTAAGTAGGAGGAAGGAATGGTGCCTCAGCATTGGTGTAAGTAGGAGGAAGGAATGGTGCCTCAGCATTGGTGTTAGTAGGAGGAAGGCATGGTACCTCAGCATTGCTGTAAGTAGGAGGAAGGAATGGTGCCTCAGTATTGGTGTAAGTAGAAGGAAGGCATAGTACCTCAGCATTGGTGTAAGTAGGAGGAAGGCATAGTACCTCAGCATTGGTGTAAGTAGGAGGAAGGAATGGTGCCTCAACATTGGTGTAAGTAGACGGAAGGCATAGTATCTCAGCATTGGTGTAAGTAGGAAGAAGGAATGGTGCCTCAGCATTGGTGTAAGTAGGAGGAATACTGACTCATATCAATGGGAAGAATAGTTCCCCAAGGACTGGATAAAGAAAAGCAACAGTCCACAGTTTGGATACTGCTGCACAAGAGGACTGTGCTGTTGCTAGGAGTGTTCAAGCATGCTGCTATTGTATCTTAAAGTAGAACTTTAGTCAGAAAATTAAGTCCTACTAGATAGATCACTTCAGGCTGGCCCCTTTTGTAGTATAGCTAGGTGGAACATTAAAAACGAGTGCCTATACTGTTTACAATCCAGCAATACACTGTCTCACCCTGTTCTACACATGCTCAGTTGCTCTCTATGTTTAAGGCAATGTGCCAAAAATGTAGTGGTCAGTCTGCTGCCAGCCTAAAGATTTACTGTTGCTCAGGGGCCCAGGGCTTCAGCAAAATGGCAGCCTCTAGCAAGAAGAAACCAGAACAATGCTGGAAGCAATTTACAGCACACGCTAATTTTGGTAGCATAGGTATTAATGTGGTATGTATGTTCCTTGCTAAAGAACAATATTTTTTTTTTTTTTTAGTAAGTTGTTATGGATAACGTTCTGCTTTAACAACAGATTCAAGTCATCAGTGTTCTTGTGTTTTGTCTCTCTGCCTTGTTAAGCCTTTGGAGTGTTGTGTCAAAGTATTTCACCCTCTAAAGTTATATTTAGACTGTCAAAAAGCTGTGGCCAGTCTTGGCAGCAATTGTAGACATTACTTGCACATGTATGTGCGATGGGCAGCAGCCATCAGTGGCAGCTGTCAAATTTGTACTCTGTAAAAATCAATGTTCGGTGGCTCTGCTGCTTTAATCTGAGCAGTAACATGCAAAAAGACCTTCCAAATGACCCTGGGTGCAGTCAGTGTAAATCCAGGGTTGACGTTTTTGTAGAGTTTTTGCTGCAGAAAAATAGGCCAGTTTGTATGCAACCATAATACAGAGTGTTACTGCATCCAGAGGTGGTGTATAGCCTCTCTAAACACAGCAAACTAGCTGCAGATATTCAGACAAGTGAATGTAGACTTAAACCAGCCATACATAGATCAAAATGTGGCCAGTTCAGCAGGGACAGGTAAAATTTTGATCAATATATGGACACCATGTTTGTACACAAGTCAATTTACCAATCAACTTATGAACAACAAGCCTGAATGATTAGTACTGCCAGCTATAGCCGACAAAAATAATCATTGTGTTCTGCTGGTAAGGAAGGCTCCCCAGGACCAGAACACACTAGCACTGCAAGAGGGATCCCCACATCAACACTGACTGTGTTGATGGGGGAATTGACCACGGGTAAAAGGAAAGAACATTATGGCCTGCTTTAATCTGCATTAGATATATACAACAGCATGTTTGCCAAGTGAATAAATATTAGCCTGCTAACAAGGATATTCATTACAACTATATTTGCTCTAAAGTTTATAAATGTAAAAAAAGAAGAAATTGCAGCGAGCTTGTTTGTGTTGTGTGGGTGTGGAAAGCAACCTACGTGAAGGCTTCCTACAAAGACCTCATTGGTGAACCAGTGAAGCGTATACATGTCCTAACAGTTGTTATTTTCCAGGGCTGCGCTTGTATACTTGCTACAGCTGTACAAATCAGTTATTTGAATCCCCCCAGCTCAACAGCGGGATCTCTGAGTTCAGCTCTGCAGAGAAGCCTGCTTAGCTCTCACGTCTGTAACCAATAATGTCATTAAAAACACATAGCAGTGAGCATTCAGTGCATATGGGACAATCGCGATTTGTGTAATCTTTCCAGTGTAAAGTAAAACATGGCTATAGTTATATAGCATATCTAAACCTAAAAACAAAAATGTTATTTATTACAGCATACCACTCCTTAGCTTGGTGGCTGTGCTAGTTTTCTTTTTTTCTAGACTAAGAACATTTTCAGTAAGTACAAAAAACATCTGTTGATCTTGTCAGAAAAGAAGTGTCCTTGACAGTTCCTGTAAACTGAAAATGAAACATCCTTGTTTACTGTGTAAACTATTAGTTCCATCAATATACCACATAATAGACGGGAGCAAAGGCTGAGATGTCTGAAATCCAGCCTGTGTGACAACAATGGCTCCCTCTACAAATAAGTACTCATGCACACCAAGTGTTTAAAAAAAAAAACCACAAAAACACACACAAAAAGAAAAAAAAAAAAAAAAAAAAAAATCACAAAAAAAAACCTCTGCTTTTAGGAGCTGTAACAGCGTATACCCAGAGATGAACGTGGTTCAACCATTTTAGCTTCAACCTCCATCTTGGCAAAGGGATTAACCATCCTCACAAATATATTTCTTCCTCATTCTTCCCCCTCCCTCCTTAAAGGGGCCCAGAGACATTTGGCCAGTATGTGTGTGAGTTGGGAATGTCACAGGAGGGTCATAGGAGCTATAAAGCCTCCCAAGGGAGTCGGGGCCTCCCTGTCCAAAGAACCTGCAAATTGTAACACCTCGTAAGAGATAAGGCAAGCTTTCCTAGGAGTTGAAAAAGATTTCAACCTAATAAACCTAACTCAGCGTAGGTGACAGTATCAGATAAACACTTTTCAAAATCCATTTCTCCCCTACGTCTCATATCTTGGAATATGAGAGACTTACACAAAAACCAGACCTATCGTCAGATTGGCCATGAGAAGGCGACCAGTCACTCGCATTGTCTCGGATACATAGGAAAACAGAAAAGTAGATCTTGTGAACCGTACAGTGTATAATTTCATAATTCATATCTAATCAATCCTCAGGCGTGTCTGCATAATAATCTACCCGTGGGTGGAATGTCACTTATGTAGCTGGAAAGTTATGGGCCAAAATATGAGTTACGGGAGATTTTGGCTCTAGTTGAGGTATCCACCCATACCTCCACGCCCTAAGCGGAGTATTGGTCCTTGACATCAGAGACACCCTCTGCTGGGGACCACAAAATAGGCTGTCAGGCATAGGAGTGAGAGTTGACGACGTCTCCCATTTTAACATCAATACCACCTGGGGAGACCCGTGCCTTTTTGCTCTGAAACCTGGATCTGCTAACCCAGGACTTTGGAAAGTACCTTAACCCTTTCACCTCTCTCTGATATCTCTTTGCTGTGCTGTTGGTCTCTGTATGTTATATATATATATATATATATATCTTAGTTACATATTTTTCTGTAAATATTTTTATTGCACCCATTTGACCTTTTTAGTAATAAATCTTTCCTTCTGAAAGTGTTGAACTGTTTCTATAGCGCTTTATTGCAATTTACGAATTCCTGCCTCTAAAGAGACGCTACTGTGTTTAACTCTGCATAATCGGCCTGCGGTGACCGTATTATGCAGACGATTATCTCAACCATTATAGTGTTTTAGCTGATATTGCCGAGTTAAGTGTATGCAATTTGTAAGAATGGACTTACACCATTGAGACTATCTGAACTTGTTTGTTCAATAAGTGCAATAAAATACCTTTTGATCTTGCCAGAAACCATGTGACAAACCATATGCTCTGTGCCTGTGCTCTACTC